CGGGGGTGCCCCTCACGCGGGGGTCTCTCCCCTAGGTGTGCTGGCTGGCTCCCGAGCAGACGGCGGGGAAGCAGAAGCCCTACATGTACACGCAAGGCCAGGCCGTCCTCAACAGGTCCTTCTTCCCCGGCTTCGACACCCCGTCGGTCAAATGCACGTACTCGGCCACGGTGCAGGTCAGTGGTGCCCGGCGTGCGCGCGGCTGCGAGCCCGGCCCAGCGCAAGCAAAACGCTCCACGAGTGTGCGAGTGTGCAAAACGCTCCACCAGCGGGAGGGTGACTGGGACGAGGGGGGACGCAGCTGGAGGAGAGGTCTGATGCCGGGTGACACCGCATCCTGGTGGCCATGCCGGATGGAAGGAGCATCCCATGTTTAGTACCAAAACAGGATTAAATAATCCAAATTCCCTCGTCACGTGCAGCCAGTCACGCAGTGGCTCCAGCACTGGGCTGTTCCAGCGTGCCGGCCTGCTGCAGGCAGGACGCTGCTTATCAGTGTGACACCAACCCAAGGCTGATGGCACGTGGTGGCATCAGCTGCTGATGCTGGAGTGCATTTATTTTGCCTCTTGCTCTAATTTCCACCATTAAAGCTTTGGCTGAGTGTCCCCCGCCGAAGGGCCAGCACGGGGCTTGGCTGTTGCAGAGCCCTGGCGTGATGCTCTGTACCAAGAAAGCCGTATTCCCACACGGCACTGCGGGTGTTCACCCCATGTCTGGAAGAGCAGAGACTGGCCAGTGGATCTGCCATGGGCTCTGCCTCAGCTTGAGAATGGGAAAAACAAGTTGTGTAAGAAATGGGAGGAGAGCCAGCATCTGGAGGATCTGCATCCTTTGCCCTTTCAGCACCTGCAGCTCCAGCATTTCTTTATCTTGCTGGCACCTCACAGGGCAGCTCTGGGTGTCCTGGTGTTGCACCCAGATGGTGTTTGAGCCCATATGCCAAGTGATGCTGTTGCAGGGATGCAGCTGGCATTACCGCTCTGCTCTGCGCCCCAAAACCTGCAGTGCCCATGGACCCAGCCACCTTCAGCATGCTGAGACGTGTTCGCTGCCAGACATCGTGGCATCTTGGGCTGGGGTACGTCCTCCTCCGTACGTTACAGATCTAACAGATGTTTTTATCTACGTGTCCAGGTCCCCGAGGGTTTCACGGCTGTGATGAGTGCCACAAGTTGGGAGAAGCAGAAGGATAACACCTTCGTCTTCAAGATGTCCCACCCGATCCCCTCCTACCTGATCGCTCTGGCTGTTGGGGACATTGTGTCTGCTGACGTTGGCCCAAGGCAAGTGGCTCTGGGGGACACCCAAATGTTAAGCCCTGGCTGTGGGAGCTGCACGGTGAGGCTCCCGTGCCGTGCTGTCCCATGGCAGCTGCGCTGCTGGGCTCTGGAGAGCAGGCAGGCACAGAGACGCTGACTGTCCCCCGTGTGCCATGCACGTGGTGCCGTGTCATCAGGCCACGGGCTGTGCCGGGTGAGGAGCAGCCTCAGTGCTGGCTCTTCTTGGCTCTGCCCCATGCACATGACTGACAGCAGCGGGTTCCTGTTCACAGAGGGTCCCACCCCTCTTCCCAAGGCTGGTGGTCTGTTCCTGGCTGTCACAGTAGCCTTATAAAAGCCCTTTGACATTAAATCAAGGGAAGAAATGGCAGCAGCCTCCACCATCAGTCTCATTGGGTTCCTTTATCAGCAGGCTTTGTTGTGCTGTGGAATGAACGTGTGTGGTTTTTGGCTGATGAAGCAATAGGGTAAAAGTCCACTAAGGGTTAAAAGTTCCTCTTCTACACACTTGGCCAGGAGCCGCGTCTGGGCCAAGCCCTGCCTGATCGAGGCTGCGAAGAAGGAATATGATGGGGTGATCGAGGAGTTCCTGGCTGTCGGAGAGAAGCTCTTTGGACCTTACGTTTGGGGCAGGTACAGCCTCCTGTTCCCAGTGGGTTTTGATCCCTGGGGCTGGAGAGGGAGCACCCCTCCATCCCGAGCAGCATCAACAGGAGGAGGGGAGTCTGACCCCAGCCGTCTGCTCTTCCCTGGCAGGTATGACATCCTGTTCATGCCGCCCTCCTTCCCGTTCGGCGGGATGGAGAACCCCTGCCTGACCTTTGTGACGCCCTGCCTGCTGGCTGGGGACCGCTCCCTGGCCGACGTCATCATCCACGAGATCTCCCACAGCTGGTTTGGCAACCTGGTCACTAATGCCACGTGGGGCGAGTTCTGGCTGAACGAGGGCTTCACCATGTACGCCCAGAGGCGCATTTCCACCGAGGTCTACGGTGCGTGGCTGTGCCCGGCCGCAGGGCGCTGAGTTCCCGCGTGCAGCCCTGCCGTCGCAGGAAGGACCCCCGTGGGGCCAGGGTCTGTGCGCCGTGCGGCTCAGCTCATCCCTCCCCCCGCTGCCTGTGGGGCTGGAGCCTGCGCTGCATCTTGGAGGAGGGGAAGAGCAGCAGCTGGCAGCGCTCTGGGGTTTCATGTTGGCAGCAAAACCACCTTTGCTCCGGGAGATGGACACAGCCCCTGTAAGCCCCATGCCGAGGGTGCTGCGATCTTGTCCAGCATCGCCTTCCTCTTGCTCCTGCAGCTCCCTGGGGGAGCCAGTACCCCAGCAGGTCTGGAGCTCCTCCAGGGCACACAGTCACATCCAGGAATGCACATCACAGCTCCTGGTACCATTTGCTGAATCCAGCTAAATTTTAATGGCTCTAAAATCCTTTTGCTAACCAAGTGCTGGGTTGCTGTGCATCTCCACAACTACTATCCCAACACCTTATTTATCAAGTTCCTCCTCTTCCAGCTCATAAGGGAATGCTGTTTCCTTCCTGCAGCAGCACCCCTTGTGCTCGAAGTGCACAGGGTCTGGTTGGGGTCCCTGAACACCGCCTTGTCCCTGCCCAGGTTCCGCGTACACCTGCCTGGAGGCTGCGACGGGAAGGGCCCTCCTGCGCCAGCACATGGACAACACCGGGGAGGAGCATTCGCTCAACAAGCTGCGGGTGGTCATCGAGCCAGGTCTGGGGGTATCTCCGTCCTCCCGCAGCCGGCTGTGGGGAGTGCAAGCGAGATGGGGGTTGTGGGGGGAAGCCCTGTTGCTGGGGGGTTTCATGACTTGCGATAAGAACGGTGCTGGTGGTGGGACCCGAGTGAGGTGATGGCTCCAGGAGGGATGTGATGGGCTTGAACCCGGCACAGAAGGTGGAGATCTGCCATGCGAGGGCTGTTCTATTTTGCGAATGGGCGGATGATGCTTGAGGGTTTTCCTTGTTTTCTAGGTGTCAATCCGGATGACACATACAACGAAACACCTTACGAGAAGGGCTACTGCTTCGTGAGCTACTTGGCCCATCTCGTGGGGGACCAGAGCAAGTTCGATGCCTTCCTCCAGGTTGGTACGGGAGGTACCAGGTGGAGGTGCCAAGTCGTATGACACACCGGGGCAGGAGTGCAGAGTGCAGCAGGATCCCTGGGAAGGACGGGCTGCACAGGGTGGCCGGGGAGAGGAAGAGGAGGTGGGAAATGGAGATGTTTGCAGTGGAATGAGATGAGGGCAGAGCTGGGCCCAGCTGGCTGCAGGCGGTGGTGGTCACAGGTGTCCCAGGGGCTGCAGGGGACCGGGCAGTCCATGGGGCGGGTGGAACGGGGGCTGGGCAGCACCGAGCCCTCCTCGTGAGCTGCAGCATGGGGAGGACTGGCAGCACTGCCAGGGGTGACGGTGTGTGCAGCATCACTCCCCGGCTGTCCCTGCAGGCCTACGTGAACCGGTTCAAGTTCCAGAGCATCACGGCAGACGATGCCCTAGGTTTCTTCCTGGAATATTTCCCAGAGCTGAAGGAGAAAGGCGTGGACTCCATCCCAGGTCAGCACTGCACCTTCCTGCATGATGGTTTGTAGGTTTTGTTGGAGATGCTGCTGCCGGCTCCAGCTCCAACAGCGGCCGTGCAGCGCTGGCCGGCTCTGAATCAGGCACTAACCTGGGCTTGTGCATATGCCTGCTCAGCCGGATCATGTTCCATATGAATCCAGCCCCTGCTCTGTGCTCAAGTACCGTTCCATGGGGTTTCCCCCCCCAGCTGAGCCTGGTGGATCTGTAGCACCCGAATACAAGTGTTCGCTGGCAGAGCTGCTGGGATCAGGCTCAGAGGTGCCCCAGGCTCAGCTCAGTCTCGTTGCGGAGATCCAGGCCTGGCAGGAGCTTTCCACGCTGGAGCCGGCCCATCTCGCTGGTGGCAGCGGGGCTGTTACTGTACAAGCAGAAACCGAGCCCAGTATGGCCTGACAGCCTCACCCCATTATTCTCTGCTCGTCAGCTGTTGCGGGCAAGTTTCTGGTGCTGGGGATGCCCTCGGAGAAGGCGGTGGGATGTGTGGGCAGCAGCCATGAGTGTGGGGTTCAGAAAACCAGTCCCAGCTCTCCCTGCCTTCCCTGCTGCAGGCTTTGAGTTCGACCGCTGGCTGAACACGCCGGGCTGGCCCCCCTACCTGCCCGACCTCTCCCCAGGGGAGCAGCTGATGAAACCGGCAGAAGAGCTGGCAGAGCTCTGGGCAGCTGAAAGCTTGAACATGGAGGCAATCGAAGCCGTGGACATCACGGCCTGGAGGACATACCAGTTGGTCTACTTCCTGGATCAGATCCTGCAGAAATCTCCCCTGCCAGAAGGTGAGGGCTGGGTCCCCTCCAGTGCCCAGACCTGGGGTGATGCACCCCGGTCCAGCCAGTTGGCCGGAATGTGAGGATGCGTGGCCATCGACCCATCCCTGCTGCGGTCCAGCATTGTGGTTCCTGGTGTCTGGGCAGTGGTGGAGGGTGGGGAGCCAGGAGGGTGGCTAGACATATGGGGACACATGCAGTGGCAGGGAGGAGCCTTGCTGTCCCCTCTTTGCTGTGCGCTCTTTGCTGAGGGACCTCCCCACCCCTCGTGCTGGGATCCCAAGGCACCGGGCACGTGGCTCTGCAGGGCCCTGGCCCCAGGAACCCAGCATGGGCACCCTCCTGCCTGCAGCCAGCCAGTGCCTGGGATGCTCCCAGAGCTGGGGGTGCTGGGAGACTCAGGGGGTCCAGGGCTGACTTGTGGCTGGGAGAATCCTGGAGAATTTGCAGCACAGCTGGGATAGGCTCACAGGGTCCCCTTGGAGCAAGGGCTGGGAGCTGGAGGCAGACCCTGAAACTGGGGTGGTGACAATTTGCCCCTTGCAGGCAGTGTGGAGAGGCTGAGCAAGACGTACCCCAAAATCTCCAAGGCCCAGAACGCTGAGCTGAGACTCCGCTGGTGCCAGATCATCCTTAAGAACAACCTCGAGGCTGAGTACAGCAAAGTCAAGGACTTCCTCCAAAGCCAGGTTTGTCCACAGGCAGCAGTGGCTGCACCCAGCAGCGTGTCATCGGGGGAGAGATGGGCACAGGACCTTCTGCGCCAGAGGGCCAGGGGTTGGCTCTTGCTCTTGGTAGACCCACGGGATGGTTTGGGTTG